ATTGTAATAAAAATATTCTAAGTGAAGGGAAACAAATTAAGCGTTCGAAAATAAAATTTGCGTAATTTTATCGATTATTGAAATATCAGCAATCAGATGATGGGTTTGACGTGTATATTCATAGATAGCGCTTTTACTTTTTATGAATTGTTTATCACAGTTAAAAATTATTAAAATTACTGGGTTTTTTTTATTTGAATGCAGGATGAATTTTACAATATTTATCATTCGTTAGTTTGCACATATATCAATTTCAGATAAGCTTTTTGTGAAGTTTTTATTACCTATGTTAAATCTATAATCCTATAATTCAGTTTATATAAAATATATTAATATTGTAAAAATTGCATGTTAAAAAAATGTTGGCAATAAAATATTATAGGCTTTTACGAGGTAGCAGGATAAAGTAGAATTATCGTAGCATTATGAATCGGCAACAAGCCTTTATTTAACTACTCTTTACTTTTCCTAAAAATAAACTGCTTAAACAAATTCCGAACACAAACTAGAGAAAGTCCCTAAAACTGAGAGCATGGCACGTTCTTTGTGCAAACACGCTCCTGTTCCTTCTTGTATCCATCTAGACTTGCCACTATAATTTGATATTTTAGACAGTGGAGGGGTCCACTGTATAAAATATCAAATTATAATATTGTGTTAAATTAAACTACTACATCAGCTTACAACACGTAAACGTAATAAGGTAATAAACGAGAGAGCTTATGTAAGTGCATGGAACGGAAGCGCATATATACGGTTACCGGTGACCTATGTACTATATGCTAGGTCGTTATGTACATACTTTTCAGGAGTAAGTTTGCTAGGAGCTAGCTTTGCCTGGCTTCACAGTATCGAATACGGCGCGCTCGGGAGAAGCTCTCCCTACGTTGCATTGAAATAAAGCTCGGACAGCTTATTTTCTTCTAACATATTTTTTGTAATATCTTGTCAGTTATTACATTTTAGCGTGGCTTTAAAAGTAAATTATTATTTTTGTATTTATACCTCTATCCAGTTCTGATTTTGTTCAAGTAAATAAATTGTTGTACGTAAAATAAGTTTTCATATAATTAAAAGTGTATCTACATATACTATGTAAGTAGTATGATAAGCAAAGGGCGACGTGTATTTTTAATAGAATATAGATTTATTAACTTATAAGAATGTAGAATACTTTAAAATATGTATAGAAAATATCAGTTTATTATAGTTTTAATGGAATTATTAGTTAGATTTTATGGAAGTTATTAGTAGATAGTCATTAATTAGGTATATTATCTACTTATTTTCCATATGATACTATCGATTCGCTAAGTTCGTGATCATTTAGGCGATTTGATTTTTTAACGCTTTGGCTATGAAAATAGGATAGTTATTCGTGCCAAAAATTTTACGTAGGAGTTTTCCTTTTATCCTTCTATTACATATTCGAAAAAAGTTTTTTTAATTATAGGATATTCTTTAAAACATATTTATTTCGAGGCCTATTTATTCCATAATATTGTTCAAAAAAATATTGACGTATTTCGACACGTTTGGCTCGTTTTGTAGTAACCCTACTTGCTATGCTAGCGGTCGCGGGTTCGAGTCCCGCTGGGGCATTCATTTGTGTGACGAGCACGAAAGTTTGTACTCCGGTCATGGGTTTTATATTTATAATATGTATGTATTAAATGTAATAATGTGTAGTGTATCAATTCTTTGGTATCCATAACACGAGCCTCTTCAGTTCAGATGATCAAAAACCAAATTCTTAGGTTTTACATATTAGTATACTCTTACAATGCAGTTGTTGTATTTTTTCTCAGAAATGAGATATTTTCCCGCGGTAAAAAGTATCCTATATTTTGACCCGGATAACCAGCTATCATCATACTAAATTTCATCAAAATCCCTCCAGTGGTTTATCTGTGATGCGGTAACAGACAGACAGACAAAAATTCTAAAAACTATAGATTCGGCCTCTGTATCGATAATAATTTTTATTTCAATAAGATTTTTCAAAAAATATTTAATGTACAGATACGTCTTAGTTACAATTTTATTATATGTATAGATTAATGATTATACAACTATAATTAAAATAATACTATAAATATTTATACTATTAATGGTTATATTATTATTGTTAATACATACTTACAATTTAATACATATATACATCGCTAGGATAATATATAGACTTTATTATACGTATAGATATATAATCGTTTTAATATCTGAAACACCTTATGAGCTACTCTCTAAATGACTTTATATTTTTATGTGTATACAAAGGGATATTGGAAATTTCATATTGCTAGCGATTTTATCTTTATTAAAAACTTCATTTCGAAGTAATACCATAAAGGCAAAAATGCCGCTCAAAAATTAAAAGTCGAGCGTGGGGAACGAATTTTTTTACACGGCGAATTCATCTTTTGTCTAGTGATGTAATAAAAATGTACGAAAGAATAACATCAGTAAGATTAGTAATTTTAATATACAGAACAATATACGATGTATTGCATTATTTGTAAATGTATAGGAAAATGGAAATCAAACAAGTAATTAGTTATTCACGTAAGCCCTTAACAATATGAAGCGTTTGTTTGATGATTAATACATTTGACATAGACCGTCAATAATACCCAGGGGCATCGGCAATAGGCTCCCTACTCGGACATAATTCGTAAACATTGTGTACAGTGCACCTATTGAAATACCTCAAATGCACCGAGGGCTTTCTCTATTCAATTCTGAGCGGAGTATCCACAATCGGCTTTGCATATTGTTTATCAATTCCTCTGCCATGCTGAATGAAACAAGTACCTAAACGCTTTGACGGGATCAAGTAATGTTTGCGTTTACCTTGTCTAGATCGTTTACAAATTGATAATTGAAATTGTTTGTGATGGTATCTAGCTAATTAACTGAATTAGCTATTGGATTTCTATCCAATACATTCGATTCGATACAGACAGCTTTGTACCTTGTAAACATTTTTTATATTTTTTTATTGACCTGCTAAGTCTATTTTTCTCAGGAATATTATAAAATACTATGAAATATTTTTCGAACAAGTTATCTTACGAAGAAAAAAGATTAATAAAAGCTTAAAATCTATTAATCGCTTGCCCGCCTCATATTTTTTCATACTTGTTTATTAGAATATCATTCTTATAAAAGTATATAATTTTTATAATCTTTTCTAAATAAGCTGATTAAGAACTAAAAGCTTTGCCTAAGAATTTATTTAAGTTTATAAACAGAAGCCGTACAGTTAACTCGTTAACTCAGGGACCATTTTCCTCACTTAAAGAAATATTTGAATTATTCTTTAGGTAATAAAACTCAATTAGCCTCATTAGTATTTAATATACATTAATAAATCAATCTCTCTAGTCATATAAAAATAATATATAATAATAACATATAAAAATAATATATAATAATCTCTCTAGTCATATAAAATTTAATACTATCGCCAATTTTATGTTAACATTTTACATTTCTCATCTTAAAATCCTTCATATTTAGTGCACTTTTGAGGGCTGAATTAAATAAAAATATTGCTCGCGAGTTATCAAAATTTCAGCCCCAGGGCACTGCGGTTTGGTTTAGGTGTCAATGATAATAAAAAAAAAACCGCGAAATGTCAAATTATCATAAAACTTCTCAATAAAAAAAGTATTCTAAAAGAAAACTCGTTTTTTACTATGGACAGATTAATATTTACTAGTGCCAATCCAATGTAAGAAAAATTATATACGATAGTAACTTATTGAAATCTCAATCTCATTCGTGTCTTCCTCACAAAATGTGACACTGGCAGAATGGATTGCGTCTGTTAACGCAACTATAAGGCATTATAGAAAAAAACTTATTGATATCTTTAAAGATTTTAACGCTACCTGCGTTAAAATCGTTCAATCATAATTAGTAAAGTGAACCTAACATCTTAAAATGTGTGGCCAACATTTTTTAACAGCGAGTGGCTAAGCTTTTGTTCATTTCTCAATTATTTAGAACGCTTTCTTTAAAAAATAAAATTATTGTTGGACAAAATTGTTCCAAAAAATTTAAATCGTGTCCAAAATCAATCAAATCGTAATCGACATATATTTTTCTATTTTTTTTTATAATATTAGTGTATATAGATTACTGTTCAGACTTTAGGCTTATGATATATTTATGTAATTGGTGAAAAATAAAGTGAATCTCTATAAACTCCTATTGCGTTGCAGATATTAGTTCTAATTAAATTTGTGTCGTAATACAAGTACTCTCTGAACGACGATAATTATTATCCATTACCTATATTGTATTGCTTACTCAGATGTCTATTGCGGGTTATTAAGTACAAAGCTGGCTCTTTTTTTAAGTAACTTGTCTTACATTTTTACATAATAGCAATTGTCTTAGAAGTATTAATATATTGAAGCTTTCTTTATTTTCATAGTTTCTGCCTTTTATTTTTTATAGATGTAAAACTGACATGATTGAAGTTTCATTAGCAAGCGTTCAAGCAGAAACATTCTGCTTCACATTATCATTTGAAATGAAATCTCTATTTCTATTCCATCGTGCACGCAGAACTATTACAGTAGAATCTATCTACAGTAATAGTTGTTAACAACAACTTGTTTATAAGAAAAATAGCTTTCTTATTTCTCTAGCAATTTGAGAATTACGTAAAAAAATATATAAAAATGTTGACGAATTTTTTGTATTGATATAGTAATAATCTTTACCAGTGTTTTCAGATTACAGGATCGAATGTGGTCTTGTCATCAAAGTCGGTTGGTCATAGATCATTACGTAACTATCACAGCCAGCTTTGATGAGCACGACTGCATTTTTGGCTCACCGCTACAATCAAACGAGAGACCCATATGAACTTAGATCGTACTCGAAATCTTTGCATGTTCTCGGGCCTAGCCTCTCAAAGCGGCAGTGAAATGTCTTTTCGTCCTCATATCACAGCCACTTTGATGTGGTCGGTTTACGGAGACCACTTAGCGTATCGAGGTGATCAGCTCACAAAGGTCTCTTCGAAGTCTGTGGCCCATTCGTAAAAATAGCTGTGCCATGGTATACATACATATCACAGCCATTTTTGACGAGTTGGGCTGCGTGACAATTCTCCCAACAAGTAGGCAGATCGAGATATGGTCGAGTGTCGCTCTCGAAGTGGTTGTGGTGTGTTTCCCATCCATATCACAGCCAGCTTTGATGAGCGACAACTGGCGAACTAGCAACTTCTGCACTTTCCGAGGGCTCTGTGCCAGCGACTGTCGAAGAGCAATTAGGGAGCCGACAAAGTGGCTGTGGAATGTTCTACAACCGCATATCACAGCCAGCTTTGTTGACTTCATTGTTGCCACTTGAGCTACGACGTTCTCTACAATTATGGATACACAGGCATTTTTTGAACTTCATTGTACTACAACTAAACAACTAAGTATATTTTATTATAAATGTACGACTCCGGAATTCGGTACGTATAGACAGACTGATACATATAAGTGTAAAATAGTTGTATTCTGCATTGGAATATACCTTATAAATATGTGCACCTTGGCAAGTGATTGGGCTTAGAATTAAATATACATATTTCTGTGATTGTACCATTCATATAAGTTATTTCATTTTTCAGGTAAATATTGACGCGGACTTTGATGGTACTTAACGACTACTTCTAAATAAATATTCAGAAGATGTAAGATAAAAATAATTTAATAAATCTTTGTTAAAACATCGTTGCGTATTATTTTTACCTTTTATTTAAAGTTTACTCCGAGTTATGTTATGAGTAGTCTTATCAAGTTACATATATAAAAATTTAAAAAAGATTCATTAGTTGTGCAAGCTTAGTTTTTCTCTGATTTCTTGTCCATTTGAGTATGACATACTTGATTACTGTGACACATATTTGATTCATTATGTATTAAGTATTCCAGTTATTAAAATTTTTAATAACTTATAAAGTTTTAAAATTAATTATGTGTTTAGTTATAATGTGTTACAATTGTGTATTAATCTTTACAAGCTCAATAGAATTATAGAGCGGAGAGAAGCTAAGCGTACTGATTTTTGATTAAGAGTAAATACGTGTCTTCGGCGTCGCATTTGTTATCGGCTGCATTGTGAATATTAGTAATAGAAGCTAAAGTAATTTCAAATGTACTGAACAGATTAAAAAAAAACATACAGTCGAATTCAGAACCTCCTCCTTTTTGAAGTCGGTTGATAAGTGCTTATGATAGTTTACAGTAAATTCGACAAAAGAATAATTAATATATATCTCTCCGTTTCCCCATTTTTACGGACATTAAGGTTGTATGGTATTGCCTATTGGCCCTCGACACAGATTGTTTGTACATACACATAGTATGCAATATAACACTCGTGACGACCAGCAATGATATACACTAGAAATACATTAACAGTGATTATGATTTAAATATTTTCAGAACATTATATTAGGTCTGTCTATTAGTACCTACATTAATTATTAATAATTATTATAATATCTTTCTATGTTAAAATGTATTTTCACGCATTATCCTTACTAGACATTTTAGATATGTAATGCATGATGCAGTAAATATAATTAAGTAGGTACTATGTACTAAATTAATAAAATACAGATAGCACGAACATACAGTATAATATATCGATTTTATAAGTGGGTGCGGATGGTGTGAAACATTTAAGGGTTGAGTAGTTCTTTTGTGAGAATCTTTTTCGTTTTATATTTTTTCATAAAACACACATACTGCGTCGAATAAAGATGAAATTTCGTAAGTACGTACGAAATCGAAATATGGATCAAAGAAATAAATACAAAGATTATTTTTGAAATTCTTTATTGTGAGTCAAAACAAAAAATAAGTTCGATTGTACAATAGATAATGTAAATATTAATCAAGTAAATATTCGTAAATCGTGCTTTTGAGCGATGTATAATTTTAAACAATGCTAAATTATGCAATCTAAACATGGCTTATTATAGAGTAGCTTGTTCATCACTACATTATATAAAATAAAGACCCCTCGACGCGTCTGTCTGTTTGAACGCGAAAAACTCAAAAACTACCAAACAGTTTATACGGTTTTTACAAATAGACGGAGTGGTTCATAAGGATTCATCGTGCAGCAGGGCCATGTTGAAGATGTCGGAAAAAATCAAGTCGACTAGGAGCCTTACACTGCCGTGCCCCGAGGAAATCATTAAAGTTATATGAAAACAATATATTACGGAATTATTCCTCTTCAAAAGATCTATTAAACTATAGCAACGCTCTATGTATGTACATAGGGAAGCACCCGAACGAAGCGATGATAAGTCAGTAGTTGTTTTATAAAAATACAGCCAAAATGGGGTACTATTCGTATTTTGTGTTTATAAGTTGAGACGTTGAGACAACGCTGCGTAGAGGTTATACAGGATATTGATAGATTGGGAAAGGCAGACAGTGTCTTGAGGGGGACAAATGTAGATTGAGAGAGGGCATATGTCGTCTTATATTTTATGCATGAAATAAATTAATATTAGGTATTATTGATTTTTATCATTCCTTAATTTATATATTTGTGATTTTAAGCTGTGTATTATCGATCACAAAAAACTTGTTTTTATTGTTCATCATTATTCATTAAATCATTAGAGGAAAAATATTCCTATGTGATATGTATGTGTCAAAATCATTAATACTTGAAGTTCTCTATCGATAATTTAACACGTACTTTATTTAATTCGTAATTAAAAAAATGAGCAATGTATTTAAAATCATATAGTGGACTATGATTTTACACACATTCATGAAGTTTAGGCTTTTGTTAAAATATTAACAATCTCTTTATACGCCACAGCGCAGCACCTCATTAAAAATAAGTACTTTTGAGGTAATTTAATCTGTGTTTAACGTTGCATATACTCGTACTTTACAAATGCTGTACACGTAATAATGTTATAATGGCAAAGGTCACAGCAAAACAATTTCAATAAACGGAAATCCTATTTTTATACTGGAATTCCAATATTGCATCTTATAAATACAGACTGACATCTTAATTGAACTTGCAACTGACTTGGTCGATAGAGTAGACTAATTAAGAACATGTAAATTCGATTAGTGTCGGGTAATAGCTAAAATATGTTTGAGAAGGAAGTCAAATTATGTCTGCTGTGAAATGTTGATAAGATTTTGTAAAATGTCGGCAATTCTCTACAAATACTTGTGCTATTTATAAAACCAAAACGTAATTACAATGTACGCTATTGTCTGCCACGTTGTTTTAATAAATGATTTCATTGAATATAACCTTTTTGGTACTATAATTATACAAGCAAAACTTAAAAGACTTACCTATCTGCATATAATGGCTACATCTTTTTAATCTATAATATAATATATAAAATGCTTTGTCCTGACTGATTCGACTAATGGATCAACGCACAGCCTAAACCGCTGGTCGTAAAAACGTGAAATTTAGAGAACGTATTCCTTGTATGATGTAGGCATCCGATGAGAAAGGATTTTTCGAAATTAATCCCTTAAAGGGGTAAAAGGAGGTAATAAAGTTTATATGGGTAAAAAAATATTTATGATCAGAATTACTTGAAACTTGATACTAATGCTCGTCAATACAATTAAATAAATACGTATTTTAGCATTTTTTGATATTCATCATATAAGGGGATAAAAGTTTGTATGAAACTCAGTAGTTAATGCACGGAAAGTAGTATTTACCTTTAAAATGAAAAATAAAAAATATTAAATTTAAACAGAGTTACATTACTGTGTGGGATATAAAGTAGAGAATAGAGGCAGTGGAGCTTGCTAAATACCTACAATGAAAATTTATTTAGAGAATATACCTACTTTAATATCTTTTAAGATATTGGATATTTTGATTTACGATCACAAATTAAAAATTTTCAATTTTTATAATATTTATACCAAATAATATGAAACACGAACTTATTTTTGCAAATAATAAAGTATGTATTGCGAAATAGTGTTTTTTTTGTAGTTTGATCGCGGGTGAAACCGCGGTTTCTTCTAGTACCTACCTCTACAAATGAAATGAATATTTCAAATGTTAAACTATATATTCTATACGATTATCTATCAACAACTGATGTTTATTATTCGAATAAATGTTCTATTAATATAACGAATATTGGCACCTAATGATAACACGGGTCAACACGAATTTTGAGTCTGCGTTCTGTACCTCTGATTTTGATTACTTATGCCTAACTAATTAAAGAAAAAATATTTTTATCTATTAAAGTTTGCTTTTGTAGTTACTACAACGAAATTTATTTTTTATGAAAGAGCTCTATTTTTTAATTTCAATTATTACATGTAAAAGGAAAACAGTTTTGAATTCACATTTTTTTATTGACTTTAATTATACAAGACGGCATATATAAACCCACAAATACAAAAAATAATACAAATAAGACTTTAAAAATGAACAGACTTGGTATTTCTTCTGTGTAAGTTGGAACTTTTTCGTATGAGCCCCCAAATGTAGTCACCCATCATGTTTTCATTATATTGTCCTTGATAACGCTTTTCAAAGTTCATTACATCTTGGTGGAAACGTTCCCCTTGCTCTTCCGAATATGCACCTAAGTTGTCTTTAAAGTTATCCAAATGAGCATGTATCATGTGGACTTTCAATGACATTCTGCAACCCATAACTTTGAAGTTGTGAAGCATATCAGTAATAAGCTCCGTGTAATTCTTTGCCCTTCTGTTGCCAAGAAAGCCATTAATCACTGCTTTAAGGCTGAGCCACGCTTGTTTTTCGTGGGTACTGAGGAGCTGTAGGAATTGTTCACTGGCCATTATTTTCTTTATTTGTGGACCAATGAAAATACCAGCTTTAATTTTAGCCTCTGACAATTTCGGGAAAAATGATTTTAAATATTGAAAGGCCTCAGAGTCTTGACGCAGAGCCTTTACGAACTGCTTCATCAGACCTAATTTAATGTGCAATGGAGGCATTAAAATATGATCGGGCTTCACAATCGGTTCATTTTTGACATTATGTTGTCCTATTTGAAACTCGCTCCGTTGTGGCCATGAGTGCTGCTGGTAGTGAAGTGCATCGGCTCTACTGTCCCATAAACAAATGTAACACGGATATTTAGTGTACCCGCCTTGCATTCCCATCAGAAATCCAACCATTTTGAAATCTCCTATCACTGGCCAGGCGTACTCTTCATATTTTAAAACTTGTAGCAACATTTTAACGCTCTCGTAATTTTCTTTAAGCATTACAGAATGAGCAAGGGGAAGAGATGGAAATTTATTTCCATTGTGAAGAAGAACTGCCTTTAAGCTTTTTGTAGAGC